AAAAAAAAAAAAAGAATAAACTCCAAATGGATTAGGGATTTAAATGTAAAATATAAAATCATACATGTGATAGAAGAAAAGATGTATATTTATCTTTAAACTTGAGATAGCTTCTAACCAAGACACAAAATTCAGAGATAATAAGAATGATGAATTTGACTATATTAAAAAATAAATAAACTGCCATAATCAAAATAACAAAAAAAAATTGAGAAACTGGGAGAAAATATTTACAACATACACTTCAGACAAAAGGCTAATACTCCTAATATATAAAAACACTTTTTATCCCCCCAAAGAATTTACTTATTTATTTATTTGACAGAGAGAGAGAGACAGCGAGAGAGGGAACACAAGCAGGGGAAATGGGAAAGGGAGAAGCAGGCTTCCCGCGGAGCAGGGAGCCGGATGCAGGGCTCGATCCCAAGACTCCGGAATCATGACCTGAGCTGAATGAAGCCAGACGCTTAATGACTGAGCCACCCAGGCACTCCTATAAAAACACTCTTAAAAATTGAGGGACAGGGGCGCCTGGGTGGCACAGTCAACCGGTTAAGTGGCTGCCTTTGGCTCAGGTCATGATCCCAGTGTCCTGGGATTGAGCCCCCCACAGGGCTCCCTGCTCAGCGGGGAGTCTGCTTCTCCCTCTGCCCTTCACCCTGCTTGTGCTCTCTCTCACTTACTCGCTCTCTCTCTCTCAAATAAATAAAATCTTTAAAAAAAAATTGAGGGACAAATGATTAAAAGCCAGATAGAAAAATGGGGGAGACACACAATCCCAATACTCATGAAATAGAACTGGCTCTTAAACATATGAAACAATTTTTCACAAAAGTATAAAAATACATTCTGTTATTGAGTTTTTATTGAAGAGTATTTCTTTTTTTAAAAAAAATATTTATTTGACAGAGAAAGAGAGAGAGAGAAAGAGAGAGCACAAGCAGGGGGAGTGGCAGGCAGCGGGAGAAGCAGGCTCCCCGATAAGCAAGGAGCCCGATGTGGGACTTGACCCCAGGACCTGAACCGAAGGCAGACGCTTAACCAACTGAGTCACCCAGGCGTCCCTATTTTTAAATATTTTATTTATTTGGCAGACAGAGAGAGAGAAAAAGCACAAGCAGGGGGCAGTGGCAAAGGGAGAGGGAGAGCAGGGAGCCCAACGTGGGGCTCGATCCCAGGACCCTGAACCAAAGGCAGATGTTTAACCAACTGAGCCACCCAGATGCCCCCCAAGCCTCAAAATTCTTACCTAATTTCCATGAATTTTCCACTGTTGTATCTTGATCTTCACCCAATCCCAATCACACTGAAAGGCTGGCCTTAAACCAAACTTCCAGTTGTCAGTAACATCCATCCTTGCATTTCCTCCTTTGAAATACTACCAAAGCTCTTTTTGGTGGTGTTTTCCTTTATAACAGTAAGCAATAAACTCAATTCTGTCTGATATGTAGGGAGCCAGCATTCGATACTGACAACATATTATGTATACAAGACTGTCCAGAAAGTTGTCTTGCCAAAATATATATTATATAATATATATTTAAATTCTAAAAATATATTTATATATTTAAATTTTATATTTATGTATATATTTATAAACTTAATATATTTATATATTATATGATATAATATTATATATAATCTAAATCTCATTATGCTTCTTGATCCCACTACTTATTTAGAGGATACAGAGAGGGGCGCCTGGGTGGCTCAGTCGTTAAGCGACTGCCTTCTGCTCAGGTCATGATCCCAGGGTCCTGGGATCAAGCCCCGCATTGGGCTCCCTGCTCCATGGGAAGCCTGTTTCTCCCTCTCCCACTCCCCCTGCTTGTGTTCCCTCTCTCGCTGTCTCTCTCTCTGTCAAATAAATCAATAAAATCTTTAGAGGATACAGAGAAGTCAGAGAACATGTTTAAGTAAATCTCAAAATGGCATCAGCAAAGCAGAATGGAAGATGTTCCTTCAGCAAATAAATGGTTAGAAACAAAAGAGATGAAGAGGAAACTTAGAGATTAAAGAAGATTTTAAAAGCACATAAAGACATTGGAGGGAGAAAAAAGGGAAGGAACTGATTTCCACTAAAATCAGAAGAGTGGCTGCACTTAGCAGGGGGAGAAGATTGTGATTGGGTGTGGACATGTGAAGGGCTTCAGTGTGGACTAGAAAGCTTTCCTCATTTGGAAAGACTGGTTGAAAGGTATAAAATACATTTTTGCATTATTATTACAACCTTTCTGTGACTTGAAATTATTTCAAAATAAGAAGAAAAAAGTTCTAATTCCTAACATTGGTGTTTACCGCATTTAACTCATTGCGCTGGACATGTGCTTAAAGCGGCTCTCTGTATTTGACTAACATTTTTTTAAAAATGGTTTAAAATTAAAAATTTTAAAACAGATAACATAATTGATTCTAATACTTATTATTTCTAATGATTCAAATCTAATAAAATCAGCTCATATGAGCTGATTCCTCCTAACAGTTGTGGCTGCGTTACTTACTACTCTCTCCTGAGGCCTTCTATTCTGGTCTACGATGGTACTCCTCAAACTCACAAAGCTCTCCCTGGCCCCCTTCCCTCCAGTCTCCTCATCCCTTTCTCCCACTGCCCCAGCCACTCCTGAGCCTTCCAAGCTATGCATTTAGGTTGGAACATTCTTCCCAAACACACGTCCTGGGCCCTTATGTCAGGTATTCTCTCAAACGTTACCACCTCAGAAAAGTTATCCGCAACTACCTTATCTAAAATGGCCCAATTTCTGCTTACTTTCCATCATTCCATTGCCCAATATTATTTATCTATTTAGCTGTTTACTGTTATCCTCAATCTAGTACAATGTAAATTCCACGAGAGCAGGGACCTTATAAGTCTTGTTCACTATCACTGCATTGATATATGTGTGTGTGTGCAAAAGGGGACATAGAGAACAGCTGAATCCAATGTATAGATAAAATACTGCATGAATGAAACATGAGATTCCCTGTCACTGAAAATGGGTTTGAAATATAAGGAAATAAGATGAATGGCAAATGGCGTAAAGTTGAAGTTTCTTCTACAGCTCATGTTGAGACCTTGATTTCCTCCCCACGTCACAAGCCCATGCTCTTGGCACCACCAAGTCTTGGTACCTTGGAGGGCTTTACAAATACCACAGAGATGTACTCCTCCCCCTTACCACATAGGCTGCTACCAGCCCTGATGGCTTCTCTTTGCCTTCCTTGCCCTCCTTACCTGTGTACTGTCTTTGTGTTTCTTCCCTCAAAATCATCCAGGGCTCTTTTCCTTGCTCCAATAAGTCAACCACATCTGGCTTAGAAATGGAATGTCCTGCTTACAAGAAAAAAAAAGCCACATGGTACAGAAATAAAAACAGAACTCACAAAATCTTTAGCTTTGCTTAAATTTGTCATGAAATCAAGGTTAAATGTTACAGATACAGACTTCAGATAATAGAAGGATGAGATGATTTAAGGAACCAGGGAGGTATGATGAAATTTTATTTTAATTTAAACTCATTACAGACTCTTCCTCTTAAGAGAAAACTGAACAAAGTGATTGAAAAGGTTAACAATGTTTGAGGACACTCATTGGAGCTAAGGGCGTGTGCACAAATTCTTTCTCCTCTAATGTCTACCAACCTTGTGACTTTGAGGAAATCATTTCAACACACTGTTCCCCAATGTTGGCAAGTAAAATCGGTATAATACTATTATTGCATGGTTATTTGATGATTAAATTTGTATGCATGTATATATATTCCTCTCCCCGCTGCTTCCCAAGAAAAGTATCATAATTGGGACATAATGCCAATTAAAATTATCTTATTTCCTTAAGAGGAAAACAAGAAGCAACCTGATTCACTTATAAAATATTCATTCAATTATAAATGTCATGCTCATGAATTGTAACTTTCAACCATAAATCATATAAAACTGGTTGCAGAAAATGAAATGTGTACCCTTCAGTTTTAAATGAATATTGTTTATCCAGTCCACACTATAGAAGTTATAGAGCTCTTCTCACAGCTACAGCCAATCACAAATCTTCATCTAACTATTGCCCTGCAGGTGGATCAGAGGATGACCCAGCAAATACATAGCAATATTCAGCCTGAACACAATGGGAAACGAGGCTTCTTGGACAATAGCTATATATGGAATAAATATAAGGAATTTTTGTCCAGCCCCTTGGGAAGTAAGGAAGGGAGGCAATGATAGGAAGGGCGAGGGAAATGTGAGCATCACCAGAAAAGGAAATGACTATGGTCGGTGGCAGAGGCAATGACAAACTGACAGACCTCAAACCTCCCTCTGGGAACAAGAAAAAGAAATTCAGCTTACATCTTGAAAGAGCTTTGAAATTCCCTGTGTTGAAAGTCAACATACCACAGAGCACATTCTAAATTTCTCATGGCAAATGAACTTACCCAATGAGACCAAGTTTCTATAGTTCTCCAACATCACATCCCTGTACAAGTCCCTCTGAATAGGGTCCAGGTATTCCCACTCCTGCCGAGAGAAGTCTATGGCCACATCCCTGAATGTCACTAATTCCTGAAACTGCAAACCCATGTAGTGTGAAATTGGAAACACATTTTCAAGACGGTAAAGACAGGAGACTACAGGAGTGAATTAAAGAAAGGGAATGATATAGTACAAATGGACTAGAAAATCAAAGCCAAATGTCTACATATTCCTGAAGAATCCTATTGTTACAGACAAATCTTTGTAGGTTGTGGGCCATCACAAAAACTCAGACCTACTGGGGAATGGATAAGATTAAAGTTTTTTTCCTATTAAATAAAGTATAATGCACAATCATGTAGTCAGCTAGTTGCATGATGTATAAATTCTCAAAAAAAGTGAGGTTCTAAATTATTTTTCCTTCAGAGTTAAACAAAGATGGGATTTGCCTCTGATACTGAATATAAAAATTTCTGTATTAAGTAAAAGCTTTTGAAAAAAGTTGACATTTCTATAGGCATTGAGTTCATCCTTTGTCAGAACACATCATAAACATTTTTCTTTGTTTTGACAAATAAATTCTGGCTGTGTCACAATACACTGTATTATAGATATCTCAGACTTAATCCATTCCGGACATTTATATACTTGGTTGGACAAAATTTCAAAGGTCTTCATCAATTCTAGAAATTAACACATTTACACTCCTTAGGATAAAGTCTCATTCATTGTCATCTTTCATCAGTTACTCAACATTTTTATTTCTAACTGTACACTGATGAAGGATGAGCCATAATCAAATAGATGTCACCCAAATTCATCAGATCACATTCAACCACAAAATATATTTGTCTCTCAATAATTCCTTAGAAAGATGCATGACCCAAATGTTTCCTATCATTCTACAATGCTCAAGAACATGAGATACCATCATATACTAAGACTAAGACCAACTGATACCAATATCCATCTCATCTGCCTAGAAAATTCAGGTCTGTGGAGAATTTGAAAGTCTACCTGTGGTAATTAAATGGGACCAACACCTCTAACTCATCAAACCAGAGACCTATAAAGGAAACTCAAATATTTCCTTCACGGGACTTCACTCCTTTACTGCTCCATCATAGCCTTTGATTGAAGAATAAGCATAGAAGTGGATTGAGTAAATTGGATGATAAATACAAGAACTGGATAACAAACACTCATTAGGAGGAAACTGAGCTATTTTCTATCACTTTTTTTTATTTTAGGACAAACTGTAGAGCAGATAACTTGAAAGAGGCCCTCTTAAGTAGAAAGCTTTGGGTTAATTAAGCAAAAAACCCACATAGACTAAAATCATAATATTGCAAGAAGACAGGAATAACCAACTTACACAGGTCATGGTTTTAGAAATGTAAGACCTGATCAGTGCTCCTTGGTGCTCCTCCATTGAAAACAATTCAAATTCCAGAGAATCCAGAGCTGAGAGAAGAAAAAAAGTTTTAATGTTCCCAATATGACTTAATTTAGTACAATCTTTTTGTTCCTCCATTCTTCTAAAATTAGCCCCCACTACTGCACACACAATTTAGGGAAAAATGGAAGATGGATCTAAGGTCTCTCCCAAGTCCCAGGACACCAGACTACACAAAGGTCGTTGTAGAATAAATCACTTCTGGCATTGAAGCCAGATCCAAACACAGGAGCAGGAGATCTCCTGGACAAGCTCCCATGTTGGGAAGGCTGATCTAGTCCTGAGATTGGGCTGTTCAGTCTTTCCATGAGTGGATCCACCTGCCTTCACTCCCATCTTCCAAGGCTGAAAGAGGCCTCACCATCCAAACCAGAGGTGCTTTTATGGCCTCATGGTCCGTTGAAGTTGGTCAATATATGGGAAATGAACACAAAGAAGGAATTGCTTAGGCCTACATTCTGTGTTTTGAGTCCAGCCAAGCTGACTACTTAAATACTAAATATTCAGGCAACAGAATACAAAGCAGCCATTAGATGCTAAAAAGGAAAATATATTTGAGGACATGGACGATATTACAGATATACTACCAATAGAAAAATAAGATAAAAAATAGTAGTACAACATGATTAGATCATTAAAAAAGAGACAGACATTGGGGGACAGGGAATAGGATATCAACTGATGGAAAGGTTTGGTAATTTATCCATTTTATTACATTACACAATCCTATGTTACCATCCCTTTTTTTATAGGCGTAATCTTGGTTTTCTTTTTGTTTTAAATATACTTCATAATTATTTTAACAGTGGCCATACATTGACTTAAAAATATATATATACACAAATGTATGTGTTAGAAGCTATTCTCCAAAAAGTACAGACTTCATTTAATTTAAATTAAATTTAATTTTTTAAAGATATTTATTTATTTATTTATAAGATTTTATTTATTTATTTGACAGAGAGAGACACAGCGAGAGAGGGAACACAAGCAGGGGAAGTGGCAGAGGGAGAAGCAGGATTCCCCGCGGAGCAGGGAGCCCGACGCAGGGCTCGATCCCAGGATCCTGGGATTATGACCTGAGCCAAAGGCAGACGCTTAACCAACCGAGCCACCCAGGCGACCTGAGACTTCATTTAATTTTAAAACACTCTCTTGAGCTTGGAAAAAAGCTGAGTACTCTAAAGTCTTCTTGACCCCAAGGAGGTTTTTTCTTGACATTTAGCCACAATGTCTTCCAGACAACTGCCCAATCAACTTATCCTATTAGTCTCATTTTGCATCTAAATATTAGTTGAGGGAAAAAATTAGAAAGCAAAAGTTTACACAATAAATCCCACTTATCTCCAGAGAGATTCCATGGGCTCAGTATAACTTGTTCATACTTTATAGTAATGGCCAGAATCCAACCAATGTCACTTTCCCATGAATTCCCAAGGTAGGTCATCTAACTCTCTTTAGTGGTCTTTACTATACACTGATCTATACTTATTCTTTTTTTTTTTTGATCTATACTTATTCTTAATCGTAGTTTATATCCCGTTGGATTATTGGCATTTAAATGTAACATATAAAGGGGCACCAAGGTGGCTTATTAGGTTAAGCGTCTGACTCTAGATTTCAGCTCAGGTCATGATCTCCAGGTCATGAGATCGAGCCCTGTGTCACAGGCTCTGTGCTGAGTGTAGAGCCTGCTTAAGATTCTTTATTCCTATGCACGCCCCCCCCACTCCACTCAGTACATTCGCTCTCTTTAAAAGAAAAAAGGGGGGGAAGGAAGGGCTACATATGTTTAGTCATTTAATCAACTCAAATGCTAGTATCACAGGGTCAGACAATATTGCAGGCCCTTAAAATGTCTAATTTCTTATATGAAAGTCCACTATTAAAAATTTAAGGAAATAAAAAGAGGTATAAAAATTATATGCAGAATGTTTTTCAGAGAATTTTTCTATAACAAGAAACTGAAAACATGTTAACAGCAGGCAACATGGTAAAAGAATTATGTTGGGGGCACCTGGGTGGCTCAGTCTGTTAAGCAGCAGACTCTTGATTTCCACTCAGGTCATGATCTCAGGGTCGCGAGATCGAGCCCTGCCTTGAGCCCCAGAGATGGGCTCTGCATTCAGTGGGGAGTCTCTTTGAGATTTCTCTCCCTCTCCTCTGCACTCCCCGCCACCACCGGTGCTCTCTCTCTCAAATCAATCAATCAATCAGTCTTTAAAAAAAAAGAATTATGTTGTAATACATTCTGGCACACTATGCTATTATTAATAATTATGATATTGGTTCACACAAACAAGTGAAGAAAAGATACTTATGATGAATTACTGAGTGACGCAGGTAGCTTTTAAAAATAATATTTGGGAGGTGGTCTCTTGCTATAATGAATATAGACTGTTGTCAGACCTTTCGGACATGAACTTCAGATTGAAACTCTGATGTTTACGAACATGCCAGTCCCTTGAAGTCTCGTTGGTAAACTGGGAAAGAACACAAAATAGCATATAAAATAGTCTGAAGATTACATAATCTATATAAAATACTTAATAAAATAATTGCTTAAGTTAGTTATTATTATTTAAAGTGGAGAAACTTCAAGGCACCTGGGTGGCTCAGTGGGTTAAGCATCTGTCTGCTTTTGGCTCAGATCACGATCCTAGAGTCCCAGGATCAAGCCCCGCATCAGGTTCCCCACTCAGCAGGGACTCTGCTTCTCCCTCTGACCCTCCCCCTTCTTGTCCTCTCTCTCTCTTTCTCTCAAATAAATAAATAAAATCTTAAAAAAAATGCAGTGGAGAGCCTTCCAAGTTCCTTAATTTACTGTTTTAAAAGAAAACACAATTCTGCTAATTCTGTTTTTTCTTACAATAAAATTTAAGTTCCTTAGGCCTGCATTCTTATAATGCTAATTAAAAAAATGTCAAAGCCTGGCTTTAAGCATGTAATTCTCCTCAATAAACAAATATTAACAAAAATGATTTTCCAACACTTTAGGAGAAAATATGCCCATCCCCTGCCACAGGCAGTTCAGAAAAATCATTTCAACATCCTAAAGGAGTTCAGAGAATCTGATGATCAGGTGCCAAATTAAGAATTTAGTGAGTGTCTAAATACTGTTTTTTGGAACAAGGTGGAGATTTATCTGATTATTCATAACTTTTACCACCTTACTCCATGTTTCTGTTAACATAAATCTATCATTGGAAATGTTTATACAACAGATACTTGGAATAACCCAGACATCAGATCTTTTCTGTATTCTCTGAAATGACATTTAATCTCATTTTAAAAAATTGATTTTATTTTTTTCAAAGATTTATTTATTTATTTGAGAGAGAGAAAGAGAGAGAGCATGAGCAGGAGGGGCAGAGGGAGAGGGAGAGGAAATCTCAAGCTGACTCTGAGCTGAGCGTAGAGCCTGACGCAGGGCTTAATCTCATGACCCTGATATCAAGAAGTGAGCCAAAACTAAGAGCCACCCAGGTGCCCCTAAAAAATTGATTTTAAAATGCTATGTTGGGGTGCCTAGGTTGCTCAGTCAGTTAAGTGCCTGCCTTTGGCTCAGGTCATGATCTCAGGGTCCTGGGATCTAACCCCACATTGGGCTCCGCTAATCAGGGAGACTGCTTCTCCCTCTCCCTCTGCCTGCAGCTCCCCTTGCTTGTGCTCTCTCTCTAATAAATAAATAAAATCTTTAGAAAAAACGCTATGTTAGCAGAAATGTTACCATTTTCTGGTAATTGATTTTAACTGACAAATCTATGCTCCTAAGAGGTGAAAATACTCAGAAAGGTTTTTCAAGTAAGGAGGGGATTAAGGGCCTTCTCTTTATATGCATAGAGACAATAATGAAACTCAAGATTTCTTTTACAAATTAAGAGTTGGAAATTCTTTTGTCACCTTATGTGATCAAATAAGGTTATTTTATATTACAGAATCAAGACCAAAAATATATGCTTACAGATAAAAACTGGAAAAATCTGTATCAAAATATAATTGGTGATTAATGGCAGTGGGGGGGGCAGGGAGGAAGAAGGACATGATGACAACAGACTATGGGTAATTTTATCTTTCTTGTTCATTAATTCTTTAGGTTACTGGATTTTCCTGCAATGGTCAGATATAATTCCTACCTGGAAATATGGCACCAATATTATACAAAATATTTTTTAAAAAATTATAGGGAGATCTTTCCACTCATAAACTGTAAATTCTAACTCTGAATTGGAAAAACAATGTTGTTGAAATAAATTTCACCTACCATTTCTTGGACAATCCTTGAGTAATATCATCAGTATAATTCAAAAGTGGGAATGCAAGCTGTTACAGCCACTCTGGAAAACAGTGTGGAGGTTCTGCAAGATGTTAAAAATAGAGCTACCCTATGACCCAGCAATTGCACTAGTAGGTATTTACCCCAAAGATACAGATGTAGTGTAAAGAAGGGCCACATGCACCTCAATGTTTACAGCAGCAATGTCTGCAATAGCCAAACTGTGGAAGAAGCCAAGATGCCCTTCAACTGATGAATGGATAAAGATGTGGTCCATATATACAGTGGAATACTATTCAGCCATCAGAAAGGATGGATACCCACCATTTGCACTGACATGGATGGAACTGGAGGGGATTATGGTAAGTGAAGTAAGTCAAGCAGAGAAAGACAATTATCATATGGTTTCACTCATATGCGGGACATAAGCAATAGCACGGAGGACCAGAGGGGAAGGGAGGGAAATCTGAAGGGGGAAAAATCAGGGAGGGAGATGAACCATGAGAGACTATGGACCCCAGGAAACAAACTGAGGGTTTCAGAGGAGAGGGTGGGGGGAAAGGGTAACAGGGTGATGGGTATTAAGGAGGGCACGTGTTGTGATCAGCACTGGGCGTTATACATAAATAATGAATCACTGAACACTACGTCAAAAACTAATGATGTACTATATAGTGGCTAACTGAACATAATAAAAAAAAGTTTCACTATCAAGATTTTTCTGTGAATGAA